CCTGGATTTCTAAGTTCTTCGCTGCTTAATAACCCCTCCTCTTGCATTTTCTCCCCTGCTTCTGTCTGGGGCCGAGACAGTGGCGGGGGACCTGTGCTTCTTACACGTTCACCCTGCTTAAATCCATCTCCATGTTGCCACAACAGTCTGCGTCTTAGCCTCTCGCTGTCGCTGATCTTCCAAAATCCCTCCTGATCTCCATCTCTTCCTGGGTCCCTGAGCTGCTATGCATCTGCCTTGACCTTCAGTACCTGCTTGCCCTTGCTGGTGGGCTCATCCCTTTGAATTTAACCTTCACTTCTCCTTGCCCACTGTCCACCACAGCTCTTTCTTCTGTGACTCTTCTGCTCGCTCCTGTCCTGCCTCTGCCTGCCCCTGATGTGACAAGTGTGATGATCAAAAGTCTCCTTTCCCCGAGATTTTATAAGACAACCTGCAGTTTCCCATCCTTCAATGGGAGAAAGCCGGGTGGTTCGGGAGCTAAACAGAAAAATGTGAATCACCATTCAGGAGGATGTGCCTAATCCTCTCTGGTCCTGTGAGATCTGACATCATTAAGAAGAAAAGTAAATAATCCTGGAAGGGGCGTCAAAGTAAGGTACAAATGAAATGGGAAAAATGAATGTTTTGCACTTAATCAGCCCTCTTGCTCTGTGTGTTAATTTCTTATTGCTGAAGTAACAAGCCACACAGACGCAGTGGTTGGACACAACGCAACTCCATTACTTCGCATTGAGGAGGTCGGAAGTTCCAAACGGCCCGCAGGGCTGCATTCGGCGTGTTGGCTGGGCCGTGCTCCTTCTGGAGGCTCAGGGGGAGAAGCCCCTCCCTTCCCTTTCCCGCCTTCTGGAAGATACCGAATTCCTTGGCTTGTGGCTCCTTGCTCCCTCTTCAGGCCATCAGTCCCGTCATTCTGACCTCTGTTTTTGTCACCACATCTTTTCTGACTCTGTCCCCTCTGTCTCCCTCTTTCACACACGAGGTCCCTTGTGATGACACTGGGACCACCTGGATAACTCCGGCTGACCTTGAGATCCTTAATCCCATCTCCAAAGCCCCTTTTTGCCATGGAAGGTGGCACAGCCACAGGTTCCAGGGATTAGGAGGTGGACATGTTTGGGGGAGGGGCGTGATCCTGCTTAGCCCACTTTTCGTGGCAAATTGCACGGTTAATTCAGAGAACTCTGCTAATGCCAGTATATGCCTCCAGTGCAGTGTTTGATGTGCCTTCTCATTTATTTGTCACCACAGCTCGTAAAGTAGACACGGGATCAAATCCGTTGTATCTGTGAGGCAACCGAAGCTCAGAGAAATAAGTCATCTGCCCAGGTTTGCACAAACCGAAGATCCGGCTGCATGTTTTACGGGCACTTTGTTTCCCATCTTTCCCTCACTCCACCCCATCCTCTGACAGGTATCTAAATAACTGCAGCCTCGTGGGAGCTCCCCTGTGACCGCGGGGGGACGAGCCATGGCCTTGAATTTGGAAACGATCATAGATGGAGTTTTAACCCAGGCTGGTTTATGTATTAATTCTAGCACATTATTTTTTGGGTCTGGATTTTTATACACTTCCTTATCCTCATGAGTCCATATTTTTGTGAACAGATACCTGAGTTGTTACGGTTTTCACAAATTTTAATCAAGTAGATGGCTGGCCATTTCAAGCTGAAAATTTAGGTTCTATTTTAGTGCAGGCAAGTGACCTAATATTTCCCGGGATATGATTTGCGTTCCTTTCTTTCCGCTCTCTTCCTTAGGATACCAATTACTTCCATGGTAGTTAGCTGTCTGCTCTCCATTTCCTTCATGTCTCCAGTCCCTTTCATCTTTGCTTTCTGGCTGTCTGGTTCTTTGGTTCTTCTTTTCAAGCCTGTCCTCCAGGTCCCTGATTTTCTGCAGTGTTACTCCTGGGACTAATCAACTCCTGATGCCGTTTTGAATTCTGCAGGTGGCATTATTTGCTTCTTGTAATTCTTCCCTCGGCATCTGTAGGTTTATTTATTTATTTGGGGGGTATGTTTCCTTATCCACTCGTCTCTTAGCGCCCATGTGTGGGTACCACCCTTGCTCACTTCCTTCTCCTACCCTGAATTTCTTGGCTGTTCAAAGCCTGGGGTGTCTGAGGAAAAAGTCCTGTGTCTCCTGAGCCATGTGTGTGGCCGGAGCTTATGCATTTTTACTTATTACCTCCCACCGTCTACAGAGTTTCCCTCTCCTCTACCCTGTTATTGTGGTTTTTCCTCTTTGATCCTCAGCTAAGAAACTGATTGCAAAAGAGGTGGATCCTGGTCACACCCGTGACTCGCACTCTCCCCAATTTGGGAATGAGGGTGTGTTACGGCTACACAGGTGATGTTTCCAGGACAGGCTCCAAAGCCGGGTGCTATGCATTCAAATCCCCGCTGTGCACACTTGTGCGGGCAGCCCCACTTCTCTGGGCTTCAGCCTCCTCATTCATATAGTACAGGTACTGTGTGTCCACCCTGTGGGTTTTTGTGAGGAGTTAATGAGAAGGCACGTAAAACACTTAGCCCATGCTCGTGAGTAGTCAGTCCTAGCTTTAGAAACTGAGTGAAAAGTGTTTATGCTGCTAAAAGGGAAGCAGGTTAGAAGATACCCGTCCGTCACTCATCCCTCATGCCCCCCACCAGCAGCCTTGCAGGGCCTTGCTCAGCAGTGGGGAAACGGCTTCCTTGGCGACTCCCTCTCTTCCCAGGCCCTCCCATGCATCAGCCAGCACTTCCTCAAGTCAGGGTACTTCCTGCAGTTTTCCACAGTTTCCTCTACTTCTTCTTTCCACTGTTTTGGGAAGGGGAGATGTGTTTGGAGTCTGGCCATTTCTTATCGTTCAATCCTGGATGTCACATGGGGCATGTCGTTGGCAGTTCCAGCCCCAAGGACCCTCCCTCCCCCTTCTATTTCCTTGCGTTGTTGTTTTAAAACTGGTCCTGTTGCTCACTTTCTGGTAGCAGAGAGGTTGTAACTACCTTTCACACTGCTGTGGCTTTTTAAAATACCAGTTATTTTATTATTTTCAAGTATAAAAGCGATACATGTTTGAGGCAGAAAGTCCAGAGAATGCCAGAAAGTAAAAGAAGAAAACACCCCTGACTGGTGTGGCTCAGTGGGTTGGGCGTCGCTCTGCAGACAAAAGGCCACTGTTTGGATTCTTGCTCAGGGCACGTGCCTGGGTTGCGGGCCAGGTCCCTGTTTGGGGAAGTGTGAGAGGCAACTGATAGATGTTTCTCTCACACATTCATGTTTCTCTCACTCTTATTCTCCCTCCCTTCCCCTCTTTCTAAAAATAAACTTTAAAAAATCTTAAAAAACAAAACAAAACAGGAGAAACTCATCACCTGCCATCTCCCCGTCCAGGCTGGAGCAAGTCCCGTGGACGTCTTGGCCTCCTGCTCCCAGCTGGGCCCTGCTGCCTCCCCTCACGTGCTTCCTACAGTCCTGACATGTCACTGATGGGGGCGGTGGAAGATGACATGGGCGGGGTAGGGCCACGTGGGGGGCTGTTGACTCGGTGTAGGAAGTGACGCAGAGTGCATCTTGGAGGACCCGGGACATGGGGAAATTTTAAATCCCAAGGCTTCCTGAAATCTAACCAGACGATGAAAACAATCGATTTTACTTTTGGAGAAAAAAAAAATAACTTAAGGCAACAACAAGAAGGTCTTAGTGAAGAGAATGGTTGGCTTGAGGTTGTAAAACCTGGATCAGAGACTTATTCACTCTACATATTTATTTACTTTTAAATTAATTAATTAATTTTTAGAGAGCGGGGATAGGAAAGAGAGAGAGGGAAAGAAACAACGTGTGGTTGCCTCTCGTGTGCCCTCCACTGGGGACCTGGCCTGAAATCCAGGCACGTTGCCCTGACCAGGAACTGAACCGGTGACACTTTGGTTCACAGGCCAGTACTCAACCCACTGGGCCACACCAGCCAGGACTGCTCTACATATTTATATAACCTTGCTAACATGCTAGTTCTGTGGCTGTGAGGATTTAAAAGGAGATCCAGGGTCTGGCACATAGTAGGCGCTTAATAAATATCCACTCAAACTGCATCCTCGTGTATGTGCCCGACCAGTTATAACTTGCTGCCATGAAAGGGTCTTATTCAAACTCAGAATGTCACTCCTGAGACTCAGGATGATGAGGGCAAAAATGCTCTTGCATTTACTGGATTGCGGAAGTGTTTGTCACGCCCTGAGGTCCGTGGGGACAGTGCTGCGGACGAACAGAGCACAGGCCTGCTCTTGGGAGTCACAGTCTGCAGTGGGAAGCACTCGCGGGCAAACCTGCCCGAGAAGTCTGCGCCATCCATAGGGAGCGAATAGCTTCCAGACGGTGGCATGACGGTGGGGGACTTACGGGGGATGGCGATGAACTGACCTGGGTTTTAAGGGAGAGGGGGTGTCTCTCGGGACTCAGGAGATTCCAGGCAGAGGAAGGAGCATTTGCCAAGGAGGGGAGGTACTGAAAAACTGCCACCCACACTCTGCCCTGGGGACACGTTGGTTCTTGGTGGGGTGGGACTCAGAGCCCGTGCTGGGGTGCCAGGACACTAGTGTGGGACCGGAGGCTGGGCTGTTGTTGATGACTTTAAGGGTTGGGTTTTCTCCGATCTATCTGAGTCTGTCTTTGAGGGAACCCTGTCTTTACTGCTTAATAGATGAAGGGAAATGGGAGGACGGTTAAGGGGCTAGGCGTCAACCCCCAAATGCAGGCTGAGCAAGGAACCAAAGTGTTTAGGAGGAGCCAGGGCCCTCTCTTACCACCAGGCATCTGCCCTCCTGAGTAAGCCCACCAGCAAAGTTTATTCTGAAATTGGATCACTTCCCCAAACCAGCCATGGAAACTCCTTATGACTGAACATCACCCCCCTCCCCCCAATCCCTCCTGTGGGGACGGGTGGGGCTTCCATGCTGAAGGTCACCAGGGAGCACAGGATAATTTGATTTCTCTCCCTCCCTCCCTCTGTCCTGCAGCAATGGAACGGCAGGGACACGGCCCTCATGGTCACCCGCGTTGTCAATCACAGGCGCTTCTCGGCCACAGTCAGCGTGGCCGACACTGCCCAGCGGAGCGTGAGCAAATACCGCTGCGTGATCCGCTCCGACGGGGGCTCCGGGGTGTCCAACTACGCGGAGCTGATTGTGAAAGGTGAGTGCCGCCAGCCCTGCCTCTGCTCACCTGGTCCAAGTAAGGGGATGGGAGGGGCGGGGAGGGCCTTTGCTCACCGGCTGTTCCTCCTCCCAGTCAGGAGTTTAAGACACAACTCCGCCCCTGCCCACTCCCAAAAGAGAGACATTATTGTATAATCAGGCAGTATTGCACTGTTATTGGAAGTTGGGTCTTACGTGTAGGATCCGTATGGGAAAGTGTGTATGACTCACTCATATAACATGGGAGATGTCTCCACATTGGGCTCTATTTTGCATTTAAAGTTAGAACCAGCCCGTGTCCTTGTGTTTTGGTGGTGGGCTTTTGCAGTGTCCAGAGAGTGCAGCCATTTCTGAGAAATTTTTTAAAAATTGAAAGCACAATATGATGACAATATTTCGGAAGGATGTTTGAAATAAGTAATCTCTCACCCCACTGGTTTTGATTTAATTCTTTTCCATTTTCTTGTTCACCTTGGAGGATCTGCCTTCTGTTAAAATACGCACATGGCTTTCTTCCTGCTTCTTTCAAGGGGCTGGATGCCCATTTATTCCTGGAAGTCCATATAGTTTTTGGATTATGTGCTTAATGGGTGTATACTGGTTTGTCAAATGAATCATGCGGAATTTTCAAATCTCCCTGTTTAGGTAATTCCAGGTGTTTTTTGTTGTTGTTTATCTTCCCTTTGTGCGAGCAGCAATTAACACCTCAATGGCATTCTCTAAAGAGAACATTTTTCTCCTACTGAACCAGATTATTCTCTTGGATGAATTCCCTAGGGGTAGAGTTGGTAGGCCAAAGAATGAGGATCATTATGAATTTTTCTTTGTTTTGCAATATTGCTTTTGCAAAAAAAAACCCAGAAACGTTTGACAGGTTACATTGGCAACAGCAGCCTATGAATGTACTCATTTCCCAGTGTTATGTTCACTGATTAAAATTTTAATGTAGCATAATTTGGTGGGTGAAATAAGGAAGCCGTTCCTCTTTCGCTAGCTGTGGAATGGCACCTGGTGTGTTTGAAGGTAAAAACATTGATTGACCACCCGCCCCCACCCCTGGAAGGCTCCTGAGTGGGTTTCCTTGGTCTAAGTATGGGTGGACATGAAACCCTTGGCATCTCTTTGCTGGACCCCATGGAACTGTTAGCCTGGCCCGGACCAGACTGGGGTTTGCACTCTGGGATTCTCTCTCCAGGGCTGTCCTGACTCTCAACAGGTATTCACGTGGCTGACCATTTGTCTCAGCCCCAATGTCATCCTCTGGGAGATAGTTGCCCTGACTCCCCCAGCCCCTGACCCCCTGTTCTGGTGATTGCTTCCTCCCACAGCCCCCCGTCTCTCCCTCTGCACTATCACACTTCAGAATTACACTTTTCCTTTGTTCACTTGGTAATTTCCTATCCCACCCTTTGGGATGGAAGCTCTGTGAAAAGAGGGGCCTCCTCCATTTGATTCATGTTTCTCAGCTGGTCCCTGGAGCTCAGTAGAGGGCCTGGTCCACGAGCTCAGCATGCTGAACCGTGTGAGATCGTGGGCTTGACTGTTTAAATCTGCACAGACCTTCACTTTATAAGGCTCAACCTTAAAATATTTGTTGAATGAAGGATGAGTGAATGGATTATTGGCCTCAGCAGGAATTCATTTTATCACCATAGTGCTGTGAACACTTAGGCCGAAGATCAACAAATTAGGCAGTCGTAAACAAAACAGCCAAGAGAAAAAGACACCGTCATTTTGATTGCATTAGGCTTCCCTTCCCTTCCCTTCCTCTTCCCCTTTCTCTTTCTTTCCTTCTTCCTTCCTTCCTTCCTTCCTTCCTTCCTTCCTTCCTTCCTTCCTTCCTTCCTTCCTTCCTTCCTTCCTTCCTTCCTTCCTTCCTTCCTTCTCTTCCTTTCTTTGCCAGTGGATTGTTTTGTGTGGCAAGTGGCCCCTGCGGGCCTTTCAGGACTCAGTGAACATGTAATTTCCTGAGCTGTCCCCTCTGGAACGTGTCCTTTACCTGCTGTGCGGCAGCCTCCCTCACTGGAGTAGGAGTCCCAGGCACAATGGACTGCCTTGTCTCGTGCTGTCCGTGGTCTCACCAGCACCTTGCATGTGCCTGGCACGAAGCTGGTCATGAGAGAATAAGGCGAGTGACTAGGGGAGCTGGTGCGGCATCCTGGACTTCTCACATCAGACCAATGGAACCAGAAAGCGTGTTTTCTTCCCTCTGTCCTGAGTTGTGGGGTAGGAGGCCTGGAAGGCCCAATGCAGAGGCCTTTGGGACAGGATGTGAGCCTCTGGTAAAGCATCATCACCTTTATTTGGGTCACGGGGGCAGCGATTACTCCTTTGCTGGCTGTGCAGCCTGGGCCAGAGAGCAGCCTGGAGGGAGCCACGCGAGGCCAGGCTTGGGAACGTGACCCAGCTGCTCGGAATCCCCGCACCTGTGCCCCTCTCTGCTCTTTAAAGAAAAGTGCTGGGTGGCCTTGTTCAGTCTCCTTCCTGGTGGCTGATGACAGGTAACCTGGTCCCATTTTAGTACACCTCAGAAATCCCTTATGACAGGGGTCCCCAATCCCCAGGCCATGGACCGACCATGGTTGGTCTGCGGCCCATTGGGAACCTGGCTGCACAGCAGGAGGTGAGCGCAGGCCAGCAAGCAAAGCTTCCCTCACATACTGCCTGCACTCCGCCTGCGTGGCCAGGCCCCGCCACCACCCCCACCAGTCCCTGGAAAAATTGTCTTCCATGAAACTGGTCCCTGGTGCCAGAAAGGTCGGGGACCGCTGCTTTATGGGATATCCCTTTTTTAGGAACCACTTTTTCCCCATTGCATTTTTTTCCTTTTTATATTCAGTGGGTGGTAAGGCAGGCAGGAGCTGGGCCTGTGAATGTAGACGCTTCTTCACATCTGTGATCTCAGTTCCAGGTGTGGCTCTGCCCCTTCATCTTGTTTTAACTCATTCAGTGGCCGGGAGAACAGCCAATGGAGAAACAGACGGGCAGCCCCCAGGGGCAGAGCTGGGGTCGCAGCAGGTGCTGGCTCATGCTGTTTTGGCCACACCTGGAGGGCCTGAGGATTGTGGCCTTGTGGGCACCTGTATCACGATGTCATGACCAGTGTGGGAAGAGCGTAGACTGCAGACGATAGGCGAGGCCCACGACGTGCATCCCTGGACCGGTTGCTAGCTCACTTTTGTAAACGTTTGCTCCCCACTACTCTAGAATAGAGCAGTAACTCCTAGGTTTCTGGAGAAATAAATCTAACCCTTTCCCACACACACACACTCCCAGTGAGCTAGTAGCACCCAAACCAAACAAGAAAGGGAAAGGCAGGGGGCACCCAGAAGCACCGGGAACCCATGTGAAAGCAGCAAACCTGAGCATCTGGGGCAAAGCGTTTTGTGAAACACTCACTCACCTCTTCGAGCCCCCCACTGTGGCTGAGCCAGGGTGTGTCAGTCCTTTAGTACTGAAGCCTCTGCATTTGTTTAAAAAAGCAGAACAAGAAAAAATTCAAATCTTCCCTCTTTCAGGAATGGGAGAAAATATGAGAAACAAAACAAAACCATCCTTAAGCGCACCCCCAGGGCGTGGGGCTGCCGCCTGAATCAAGTTTCCTCTTCCTGGCTTTCACACCACACCATGTTGGTGTGGGTGATGGTGTGGGCTGAGGTCAGGACGCTGGCACCGGGGCGGGGGGGGGGGGCACCCTGGGCAGCTGCTCTTACCGGGTTCTTTCATTTAGTTCCCGTTCAGAGACAGGAAAGAGCTCTGGAGCTGGGATGCCCAGGTTTAAATCCTGGCCCCATCTTATCCCCGCTCTCTGACCTTGACCATCAGCCTCCCCCAGCTCATCTGGGAATGAGGATATAGGATCACTTCCCTCGGAGGGTGTTTGTCCTAAGGACTAATGGAGACAGTGGAGGTAGGAGTTCCTAGAACAGTGCCTGGCCCACTGCCCGACATACTTGTTCCATAACGTGGGTGGGTAGAGACAGGACAGCCGACCCCGGTGCTGACTGGACTGCTCTCTGTGTGGCCTTGATGAACTCGTTTAAGGCTTCCTCTGCAAAGTGGGGCTCAGAGCTCTCTCCTCATACAGTCGTGTGCTGAGCATGAGGGAAGGGAGGGAGGAAGTACAAGAGAGTGCTGACTTGTAGGCTTGGAACATTTGGGCCATGGGGTCCGCACGAGGCCAGACTCCCCAGGTCTGCTCCTGAATGCACACTGGTAAGTTGGAAATCTGGGGGCCAAGGACAAGTAGCTGGTCCTGCCTATGCTCAGCCATCTGACCACATGGTCCACACCCCACCTGGCATCACTCATTCAGGACTCGGGCCACACTGGGGCTGGGAAGTCATCGTGCTCCTCAGTGCCCGAGGCTGCCAGTTTCTGGAGACCCCTCTGATGGCGTTCCTGGCGGGTTCTGGCACAGGGCCAAGCGGCGGAGGCCCAGCCTGGGTTTCTGTTGTCTCACCCTAAATGGGCGTGTTTATGGCTTGCTCATGGCTAGTGGGCTATCCCGGGGCCGAGCCTCAGGGCTTCAGAAGATGCCACCTAATCTGAGTGCAAGTAATATCAGATTCTTGGGGCGCCACACAGATCCAAATGAAAGCAAATTGGAATTACTTAACTCTAAAGAGCTGTTGATTGAGTTGTGGTAACATACCTGGGTGTACACTAGATTACTGGGTAATTGAGGCTTTGCTCAGTTGGTGATCTGGCGGCGTGACCTACTTATTCCAGTCTAGTGCTCAGAATGCACTGAATCTCTCCCCATCTCTGTGTTCCCAACTGTCTTTGATTTCAAGACACCTTCACTTACCCCAGGGAGGTAGGTGTCTTTAACCAAAGTTCTGCAGATGGGGTCCTGGTGAAAATTCTCTAATATGAAAAAATTTGTCATTGGTGGTGATTTTTAAATCTCCAGCTCCATTTAGTGACCTGTCATGGGCTCGGAACCCTCTTATCAGTAGGAAGAGTAGTGCCCAGAAAAATGTATCGTCCTGGTGC